AGACTTTCAATCAATCAAGTTTATTTGTACAGAACATTTCAGCAACAACCAATTATGAAAACACAAAAATACAGAGTCAACAATTCAGAAAACCGGTAAATATGTTACATTTTGTTAAGTGCTGTCAAAATGTTAGTCAATGTTTCATTTACTATGATTCAAAAACAACTTTAAATAGCTTGGATTTTAGTCTAGATTTAAAGAACTCAGCGTTTCAACAGTTTTCTGCAAGTTTGTTCCAGGTCATGGAGTTATGGAGTGCCGTTACTGCCGACAGTTGATGTAAACTGTTTACACATCAATACCAAAGGCTAATAAACGGATTCATAAACGTGTCAGTTTTCTAAACACATAATATAGTTCCAGTTAGTTACAGTTTTCCCCCATTAGTCTTCATTTAATTTAATTACAGTTTTTATTTTGTTATAGATCTAGCTAAGAAACAGTTTTTCTTTTTCAGTTTACTTCCATGGACAGCAGCATGTTGCTGTTGAGTTTTTCCGTCTTTGCCAGCTTCCTGCTCTGCCTCCCTCAGTATTCGACTGCAACCTGCACCGATGGGAAGCCCAGAGAGTGTCAGGAGGCCGAATTCGCTCCTGGATCCAACTTAGCTGGGGAAGGCTTCGACATCACCAAGATGGAGCGTAAATCTGCGTTTGTGCTCGACATGAATCAGTGGAAACGCAAAGATAAGACCTGCACTCTGTGCGCTAACCCGTTTCTGGAGGGCAAAAAGATGAAGCTGCCCCTGTCGGTGCTGGACTGGAGGGCCAAGCAGACCTGCAGCGCTAAAGTTTCCTCCAGGCTCCACAAGTCCAGCGAGTCTCTGGTCAGCTCCAGCACCTCCTCCGTTGAGAACAACTGGAAGGCCGAATTAGAAGTCGAAATGAAAGGTAAATCTGGCAGCCTGATGCTGGCTGGGACCAAATCAAAGGTGGCTGAATACTCCATGGAGAAAACAAAGAATGACAAGTTCAGCTTTGCAAGTACCAGCATGTCCTGTGAGTACTACAGGTAAGAAAAACCTTCTGCAAAACAATTAATGTCTTCAGGTCAAACCCAAGTTTCAGAAGCACTTAAAATGCTTCTGAAAAGGGACCTGTTATGCAAAAATTTACTTTTTTTATTCTTCAATTTGTCTCCCAACTGCTTCTTAAAACACTCCAAGTGTTGCAAAAAAAAAAAAAAACATCTGTTATTTGGTAATACGTTAATGTTTTATAGTTGTCTGAAAAATAAGCCATTTCAAAAATCTCTTCTTGTTAATTTTTCTGTTTTTGCTCTGTTCATTTTAAATCAGATTTTTTCAAAAGTAGAGAAGAAATCATTGAAACTGAAGCACGAACTGTTCCTTTGTCTTCTTTTGCACGCTGCTTAGGCCAAGTAGACCAGCGAGGTTTTATGTTTTTATGTCTACTTTCTGCTATTACTTGTAGAAATTTTGTCGCCTGAGGTTTGGCACCTTCTTTAAAAAAAACTGTGGCCATGACAACAACATGCAGCGAAGCGGAAGTGGGGGACACAAACATCCCCACCTTTTACTCAAAAACATCATTGGGCACGCACGTTTATTCAGCTTGTAGAAACACAAAAAACAAACGCTGTTTGAAGAGATTTGTCATTTTTGCTGCTGCAAATATATTAAAATTGTTTTCTTGGCCAAAAAAATGAGGAAACTGCAAAACTTTTCATTCAGGCAATTTCATTCATCAATGTTGCGTGTTTGATTTACTGTTGATCAGGAAAATTAAAGAAAATAATCCACGCTAAAATTATTTAGTGTTTTTAAATGGAGAAATGAATTTATGGTACTTTCAACTTACCAGACGTCATGCATGTTATCTCAGCTGTACTTTAAAGCATTTGTTATATCTGAAATATGGATTCATCTACATCTGTAGAAACAAAAAAAGGAGGTGGGGACTGACATTCTGAGATTGATTTCAGAAATTTTCTTGAAAAAGATGGAAAAAGTCAACATTTGTTGACTTTTTAGAAAATCTTTGATATTAATCTAAAAGTTTCTGTTTTTTGGTGGAAGTTTATTCCTTTTATTATGAAAATTTTCCATTTGTATTCATCAAACCACAAAAGCCTTTATTTTTACACGTTTGCTTTATGCACATTCAGGGACGTAAACAGATTTAGACGGATTTTTTCTATCTAGATGCATTTTGTGCTAATAGTTCCTAACTTGTTTGCAACATTAAACTGAGTTTAGAATCTCCTCAGCCAGAGGTGATGTGCAGCCTGGGCATTTACACCTCGTTAGATCGTTTATTTGGCCTTTTTTAGTAATGTGGATAAAGAAATGTATACATATTCAAATTAATTTTGTAAGTCTTTGGTTAAATCCCTTCAACTGATGGAAAAACAAAACTTTAGGTGAAGAGTTTATACCTCCACCAGTTCATCTGATAGAATCCACCAAGACTAAATGAAGTCAAATTGGATTTGCTTCACTGTTTTTCTGCTTTGCTCCTGCAGCTACAGAGTGTCCAGCTCTCCCAAGTTGAACAGAGATTTCAACAAAGCAGTGAAAAAGCTTCCTAAAGTCTACAGCCCAGAATACAAGTCCAGATTTTACACGCTGATTGATGTTTTTGGCACCCATTACATCACCAAGGTGAGTAACAACAGACTACTGAGGAGATCGGGGCACAAAGGGTTAAATGGGCTGAATGCTGTTTCAGGTGAAACTGGGAGGACAGATCCAGTCTGTGACCAGCATCGCGAATTGCGAAGCGAGTCTCCAGGGTCTGAAAACAGAGGAAATCCAAATGTGTCTGGAGGCCGAAGCGTCAGCAAGCGTCAAAGTTAGTGTGAAAGCAGAGACAAAGCACTGCCAGGCGTCTGCAGACAAGCTGGACAGCAAGAAATCCTTCTCCGACACCTTCAGCGACAGGTACAGCACACTGATTACACTTCTACCTGGGCTCGGCGATCAATCCACAAAACTGATTCGTCAGATTTTTGGTGTTGAAGGTTTATTTTTTGGAAAATAAGAATTTTTTTCCACCAATGCACTCAGGTTTCCATAGTTTAGATTGATGCCCAAAGCCGCCAACTTGTTTTAATAAAAGTTTCCTTTTATTTTGATTATAACAATTATGAGAAACAAAGTCAGAAATCTGAGATTAAAGTCAAAATTCTGAGAAAAAACTCAATTTTTGAGAAATTCTGACTTTCCAGAAATTAGTCAGAATTCTTTGCTATTATTATTAGTTGGTCCCAATCCTCTGATTTCTGTCTCCAGGTTCACAGAAATAAAAGGTGGGCTCACCACAGACTCGGACCTTCTTTTTTCTTCCAACAAAAACCCAGAAGCCTACAAGGAATGGCTCACTTCGGTCCCACAGTATCCAGACCTCATTTCGTATTCCCTCTCGTCGCTCCACGAGTTGCTCCCCGAAAACACTCCGGTCAGGAAAAACCTGCGCAAAGCCATCAGCCATTACATCTTGGAGAAAGGCCTGTGGAAGAATTGCAGCGAGCGCTGTCAGGCCGGAATACGGACCGACTCCAGGGACTCCTGCGTCTGCCAGTGCCACAACGAACCGGCGGTGAACTCTGACTGCTGCCCGACCCGGAAGGGAATGGCCCGCATCTTCATCACGGTGATAAAGGCCGAGAGTCTGTGGGGGGACCACAGCGGCGGCACGGACGGCTACGTCAAGGTGTTTGTCAATAAAGAGGAGGTTTACCGTTCTTCCACCATCGTAAACAACAACAACCCAAAGTGGGGCGCCATCGTTGACCTAGAAACCAGGGACATCTCTTCCGGAAGCGTGGTGCGGTTTGAAATTTGGGATGAAGACAACAAATGGGACGACGACCTGCTGGGAACCTGTGAGCGCCGCCTGTCTGCCGGAGTTTTAGAAGACGTGTGCCCTCTCCAATATGGCCGATTCTATTTCAAATGGGAGGTGAAGTGTATTCCGAGTCTGACCGGAAGTTTGTGTACAGAGTATAACAAGTCGCGGATGACGGAAAGCCTGAGAAACCTGTACGTGTCCCGTCACGCCCACCCGATCCCGAAACCCGTCCTGGTGGAAATGGGCGTGTTTGTGGATGAAGGGAGTTCCCACTGGAACCAGAGCCTGGCTGGGAAAACCTGGCTGTGAGCGACTTTTATTTCTAATAATGTTAGTGTGTTAATGATCAAACTGCACAGCAATAACGGGCTGGGCGATAAATCGACTTGATCGATTAATCGAATCTTTGGTTTTCTAAGATTTAATTATTGGAAAATGTAGGGTTTTTTTCTCTCCCTCTATTCACTCTTTGGTACGACGGAGTGTTACGGCCAAATAATAAAAAAAATAAAATAAAAATAAAGTTATATAAATATAACTTTATTCTCCTCATTTCAACTTTTTACTTTACTCAAACTATTATAACTTTATTCTCATTATTTTTTACTTTATTCCTTTTTCTGTGCACCTTTAAGACAAACTGCTGGTAAAATTGTGTCTTTATTCTGCTAATATTATGACCGTTTTCATAATTGTACATATATTTCCCCTAATACTCTGTCGTAAAAGAGATGACTGAATTACAAGCCACTTTTTGAAAATATTTTCTATCATTTGCTGTTTCTTTTTCAGAAAAGTAACCAATTAAAAAATAAAATTGGAATCAGATCTGGTTTGGAAAATTTCAGAATTTATTTTTAAGCCATATCGCCCAGCCCTGTAGTGATGCAACATCCTACCTTTGTGTACTTTTAGGTTTTAGAAAATACACAAGACGCTCTGCTTTATATCTAGATTATAAAATATTACTCTGAAAGCTTATTGCTATATTTAACCAGAATAAAAGCATGTTCTCTAAATTGTGTGTGGTGTTTGAGCTTTGATCTATTTAAAGAGATGGTGTTCATTTAAAAGTTCACTGTGTTCCGGCATAAACACGGAAGTGGTGAAGCTTCCTGTGCGCGGATGAGGTTTCATTATGTCTATTTAAGAGAAAAATGTTGAAACACGAAGTCAGATCAGATATTGACTCAAAGTTTCTGTTTTATTCAACATCACATGATGACTTATTCGACCGAAACAATAAGATCATCAGGCTAATCTTGATTTACAAAACATAAACACATTTCTTGCTCTCTGCATCTATTTATGTTCATCTGACAGAAACGTTGACGAAATAAAACAGATCACAAGGTACAGCAGGCTTTGCAAGGTCAAGACAAATAAATGGAGAAATATAGAAACATACAACAAACATCAAACAGAAGGAATAAAACTCTGCATTAATGCATTACATTGGAAATATAGAGATGATCCACCTACAGAGGGCTGCATTTTCTTAACCTGGTTCAAAAACAGAGAGAATTGAGTCAAAAAAAAAAAGTTATATACCAACACAAAGTAGTGCAAAAATGAGAAAAAGAGGAAAATTATACATGATTTTCACATGAATGGGCAAAATGTACATTAATGGTGTTTAACACATTGCTAAAATGCAGTAGCACACTTTTCCAAGCAGCACCATGGTGTACACATGCTAACGTTGTGTGTGAGAATCATGTTTAGCAAACCAGCAAGCACTAATAATGTTTTTTTCTTTTTTCAAACAAACTGTGTAAGTTGAGTAATGCTGCTGCATGCTAATCATGTTGGCTAAATGATGCTAATATATCATATTAAGCTAATTAACAAGAATGCTAATGTTGTTGCCTATGTTACATCCTTTGTTAGTTAGCTGATGCTAACAATACACCAATTAAAGTGACATTTTTGTCAGTTTAAATACCAATAAAACTGACTGTAATGTGAGAAAATGCTCAAGAAATATAGATACCATGGTAATGCAGAGTAAATCTTCTTTAACAGGAAGCTAGTTGCTTTGTAAACAAATAATCTGTATGTTCAATGCTAGTAGTATGATCGCAGAAAGTTAGGTTTTATCACACTAACCTTTGTAACTGTTACCAAGGCCGGCACTCAGTCCATCATATTTACCAGTCTGATCCACTGTGAAAATAAAACACCCCAGTTTAAAGTCTTTAAAAGGCAAATTGAAATCTGAAGAGAGTTTAATCCAGACCACCAGATAAAAAACAAAAACATTTTTTCCTCACTGGAGTTCAATACGACCAAATTTTTCTCCTTTTAGTTCGGCAGGAGTTACCTAAATTATTTCTATTTTCTAAGAGCCAGAATAATGAGAGAAAGACCAGAGGTGGGTAAAGTAACCACAATTTGTGCTCAAGTAAGAGCAGCACAACTTCAACATATTTCTACTCAAGTAAAAATAAAAATGCATTTGGTTAAAAAAAATTCAACAAACAAACAAACAAAACCATCTCCTCAAGTAGCAAGTAACTGATCAAAACATCAGTCATGTAATATTTAAAAATTACATAATCAGAAGGACAGAAATATATAAATTTTGGCACATAAAAATATGAATAATGGCTCTGTAATAAAATGAGCTTTGCTTGAGTTGCTAGGTAACAGCGCTGAGCTCTGCTGGGGTTGCTAGGTAACAGCGCTGGGCTCTGCTGGGGTTGCTAGGTAACAGCGCTGAGCTCTGCTGGGGTTGCTAGGTAACAGCGCTGGGCTCTGCTGGGGTTGCTAGGTAACAGCGCTGGGCTCTGCTGGGGTTGCTAGGTAACTGCACACCGCTAGTTGAATGTGACCAGAGGTGAGCAGACAAACCAAAACTTGTTCTAACGTGAGAGTAGCACAACTTCAACATGTTTTTACTGGACTGTTGCTATCTCACTCTGAAAGAGAACATGTTGAACTCGATATGCTGAGAAGCTATAATGCATCCATAAAGAGTTTCATTTTCAAATAAAATGTTATTCTAAGCCTCGTTGTTTTGCTGTCAGCCGCGTTCTGAATGTTTGAGTCAACAGAAACACTAAAAACCAACTCTGCTGAAATCACAGAGTTGATCAGCTTGGAGTCAATATCTGGTTTTTACTGACTTACCCAGAGCATCCTGAGAGGCTCCGAGCGCTGCGCCGAAACCTTAACAAGGAAACATAACCAAATGTCACATTTCTGACAACAAACCTGAATCAAGATTAAGGATCAAAATGAAGTTTTTGCTAAAACTCGCCTGTTTGCTGGGTCCCAAATCCTGCACCAGCACCTAAACCAGAAAGAAAATAATTCAAATTAGCTAAATACCATCATATAAATGAAGAAGTTATCAAAGTTTTTTCCATTTTTGCTACATGTTTTTAAATGTCTATATCATGACCTCAGTGGTAGTGCATTTGGTTTCAGAAAACCCCAGAAAGATGACCTTTTTTTTCCGTCGTGCGCAGTTTCTCGCACGCTCTCACCGTATTTGCTGGCGGTTTTGGCGCTTTCAGCTGCAAGGCCGAGCTGCTGAGCTGCATACGGGTATCCGCCGTCGCCTGGAGGAAATAAAGCGACATTATGCAATACTGAAAGCTGTGAGTGTGAAGAACAGAAAGGATGTTATGAGAAAAAAAGAGATTTTGTCTCACGCTAACAAAAAGCGTGACGTTCCACATAAGATGGTGACATTCTCTTTGTTAAAAAGAAAGTCTAAGATACATAATTATTCATTTTCTACATCTGTATTACAAAAATATTAAATGTTGCCAAGTATTTTTGTCTGGTTTCCAGTGTAAATATCTAAATCAGACAAAACTAACCTGCAAGTAACTTTCAGCACAATACACAGGTTGATTTAAGCCACTAATTTCTTAATATTTATGAAAAAGTATTAGTTCTAAGTTAAATAATCTGCAAGTGGAATATTTTAAATGGGTAGATTTATGTGATTTCAGGATTTTTATAGCATAATCAGGTAACAATGTTACCTTCAGTCATTAAAAAAATGACTTTAAAAAAATCCACACTTTGAAATTGGGCCTCTGTCTCTTTAAGGAACTCCTGCTCTTTCTGAAACACCACCTTCAGAAAGTCATCACAGCATGACTCCTTCATTAACCCTTTAGCAAAGTTTTTACCAGCGTTTTATTGAGAAGTAGCTCATTTAAAGAGCCCCACTGGGTGTTTGCTAATTGCTGCTGGCTAGTCTGAAGGAACTTGGAAGCTTGGAAGCTGCAGCTTGGAGGAGGAGCTGCATCTTGAAGGCGGGGCTAGGTCTACCCAGATGTTTTGCTCAGCTGAATGGATGAAGATTAAATCATTTCTCAAACTTGAAAGAATCAAAGCAACACTCCAGGTTTGATTTTGATGAAGGAATAATATCATAACATGATGAAAAAGCTAAAAAAAAAACCCTCAAACTTTAACTTATAATATATGTCAATTATATCTTCTACTTTTTAATCACTTTTAAGGAATTATTGATTTAAATCAAGCCCTGTATCTTAGTGAAAATTTACTTGTACTTTAGTTTTGTCTTATTCAAGTGTAGCAGGGCATTTGCAGTAGAAACGAGACAAAAATCCTCGGACATGTTTAGTGTTTTTGCTGTGATGAGTTGCACAGGAAACTACTACCTTCCAGTCCAGCAGGGATCACCGGAGCATTTCCATAAGGAACCTGAGCGGCTCCTCCTGAAAGGAAAACAACAGCCGACTCATAACATTTCTTATCCTGCAGCCGACATGTTGCTTCAGATCCTGGTGTGAGACATTCTTGACTTCTGAGTCACGCTTGCAGAGCAGCGTTTACTCATCATGTGAACTGTGGACGAGGTCGTTTCTGCACCACTCACCATATTTACCACCAACTGATTCCAGCCCCGTACCGAGTCCTCCTGCAGACAGATGAACGACGGATCAGTGGAAATGTTTTATGGTTTTGTTCTGAAACTTTAAAATGTGAACTTAGGGAGAGGAGGAGCAACTTCATTCTGCTTTTAATATTTGTAGCAGAAGTAACGTTTACTAAAAACACTCCTGCCTCATTTAAATGGGGTTGTTTGCAGTATTTATGAGCAGTTAGTGTCTTACTGCTGAGTCAGTTCGTAACTTCAGTTTAGGCTATTTGAAGAAGCGCTTTTAACAGCCGAAAATCTGAAGTATTTATCTATAAGCTATTGTCATACTTCCTTCTTTACCAAGTCTGCGCTCAGTAAAAACATTTTCAATTGAAATATTTTAAAAGGGGAAATGTACATGGAGTCTTTTAAACATGGCTGAATTAGTGCATATATGCATAGTGTCACTCTGACCACTTAGACTGTTAAAGGGGACCAAAGATGCAAAATTCATATTTTGCACGTTTTCGTTTTTCTATGTGAGTCTCAGCTGCCACTAAAAACAGCCCAGGTGCTTCAAAAATGCCAGCTGTTTTTTTGGCAAGTCACAATCAATGGGCACTGCACCGTTACCTAGCAACCCCAGCTGAGCCTAGTGTGTTGCCTAGCACCTGTACAATGGCTGCTGGAAAAGACAAGTGTTTTGTTTTGACTTACCATCCAGAAACCACTTGCTCCATTTTTGTTGGTTGTGGAGGAGGCTCCACTTTTGCTTTTCAAAGATGTACTATAATTGTACGTCTGTTTGCAGAAGATCAACCCTGATGATCCTCTACAAACCTAACTGTTCAGTGCCGTCTGATCGCGTTCTGTTTAACGTTGAACTTAATTTGACACATGCATATTTAATTTGATCTTAACCTGAAAAGAAGCCACTGTTTCCACAGTAATGTTTTTCAGTTTTACATCAGTTGATGGTTTTTTTTAAGATAAGGCCGCGGTAAATCTGGATATTAATGCTTGTCGCTGTGAAATAAACAAGATTTAGTGCAAATATGCATTATGTCAAACATCCAAACTGGGTCCAAGCTGTGTGTGTTAGCAACCCCGCTAACCTGAGGGTAAACGTCTAAAGAGTCATGGATTCTTCAAACTTATATTGTGGTTTATTTGTCTTGGAAGGCAGTTTAATATGTCTTTTGGGTCACTGAACACAAAGCAAAGAACAATTTATTATTTTCTTTGCATTCCAAAGGCTATAACTACATTTTGCATGTATGGCGGCCATATTAGATACTTACATCAGTGTTGGACAGAAACTTCCAGCTCGGTGGATTGATTTTTCTGACTTGGATGTAAGGTCACAATATATTGCAAATATACCGTCATCATAATATTGGTGCATACAATATTCATATCACAAAATCCTGTTTAGAGTTTTAAAAAAAAGTTGTGTAATCTAAAAACTTCAAATATTATATTTGAAGTTCTTAAAATGTAATATTTGAAAAATGTAACATTTTGAATGTAACATTCAAAACAAATACCTACTCAGCACAACCCCACTTAGAACTAAAATAGAAAATTTGTATTTATGTAGACTCAAAAAAGTCTAATAATAATAATTATGTACCAGCAATTTTATAATGTGTCGGTTCTTACCATATCCACCCTGGACCGGTCCAGCGTAGCCACCAGTACTGAGAGCTGAAACATCAGGAAAAGAAAGAATGTCAGTCATAAAATAATTATTAAAAGCAAAACTTTTCATAAACCTGCAAACATGAGACCAGAAACCAAACTGGAAAACCACAAAATCTTTAAAAAAAGGCAAAACTAACTGAAAAATAACTTTACAACAACATGTAGAGACGCTTGTTTCAAGTAAACAATCCTTTAATTAAACAAAGAACTATTTTCATTACCAGATTATTTTATTCATAACAAGACATTATTCATGTTATAAGTGAAATAATCTGCCAATGGAAGTAGAACTTTTTTATCAATATTTATGAATTATTGATTCAAAGCTCCTATTTCTTGCTGAAAAGTTATTTTTAAGTTAGTTTTGTCTTATTTCACAACCAAACTTACTGGGTAAGATTGTGTGTTTTTACAGTGTACCAGAATAAACTGGCCAGCTTCACAACAGCTACACCCAGTGGATATGTTAACCACACTAGCCATAAGCAGACAGCCGGTCGTTATTTTTAAAGCTGCAGGTAAGCGTCCAGCTGTTAGTGTCATCATCACCTGTTGGAGGTTTTCAACAGGTTATTATTACCTTCAATCTTTCCTGATTTGCTCTCAGCACCATCAGCTAAGTCTGCAGGGTAACCAAGCCCTGAAACATAGCTCTAATTAGCACTAATTAACTAATAACTCGTTAACTAAACCAAGTTCTACCCTTTTTTGTCACCCATATGTGGATTTACTCACCTGCTCCGTAACCATCACCGTATCCGTTTCCATAACCTGTTGGGAGACGAGGAGGAAAGAAGGTTTCATGCCAAAACTTTTACCAGTATCTCTGTTCACAATCAAAGCCAAATGTAGGTGTATTTTATTTGGATGTCAGTTTGGAAAGTGAGAATTTTCATGCAAACTGTTGGCAGAACTGCAGTTTGTCAGCATCTGTACTGCTGTGTTGGCATTTACCGAAGCCGTTACCCGCCATGGCACCAAGATATCCTGTCACTCCATCACCGTATCCTGTCACAGCAGATTAAACACATAATGTAGAGGATGCAGCATGGGTACGGAGTCCCATTTATGCCAAAAATATGCTTATGTCTATATAAGGAGTTTATTTTCTAAAATATGTCATATGAAAAAGAAGCAGATTATAGAAACAAAACTGAATACTACATATAGATGTGTTTAGATTTAATTTTGTAGAAATTTAATAGTTCTGTAAAATTTGACCCAAATTTTGAAGTTTTGTTTTTTTCATATGACATTTTTTAGAAAGTAATAATTTCTCTCTGTTTTTATTTAAGTCCGGTGTAAATTGTGTGCTTGGTATATTTCTATATTTGTGTTAGTAATAAATATTAGACAGTGCTGTTTGGTATTTTGAGCTGAACAGATTTTTTTTAATCACACAAAGAAGCAAATTAAGTGTTTTCAGTTGTTTTCATCTTAAGTCTTGACATAGAAAAGGGTAGAACATGAATTTTTATTTACACACTGCAAAAACTCAAAATCATTCCAAGTAAGATCTTATTGACTGAAAACAAGCTTCTATAATTTCTGAAATGTTACTTTTAATTTGTCTTATTTTAAATGTACTGAGGTATTTGCGTCAGAATCCAAACCAAAATTACGTGGTCAGATTCAGTTTTTTCTGCAGTGCAATACATAAGCACGTTACATTTACGCACCAACATTTTTGGCACAAACAGAACCCAATAATGAAAGTTAATTTTGATTTGTAAGCCAGACTGGCTTCAAATCCACATGAAAGGACGATAAGTTTTCACTTTCAGAAGCATTAAAGTTCACCACAAAGAGAATCACAAGATGGCTGAAGAGACAAACCTTTTGGTTTGCAGGTAAATAATGAGTTTACAAGGCAAATTAGGAGCAGCAACAGATTTTCTGCTGCCTCACCTTGACCCTTCACCTGACATCAGGTTCAAACTGCGTATACTTTTATTTATTTATCTGCTTCCTTTCTCTATTCCACTTGTACCCAGAATATCTGAGCCACTGGGTTTATCAGGGAATAATAGACAACAGAAAAATAAAAATGCAAATTTGAAAATAACTGCCATAAAAATTTTATTGTTTTTGCTGTGACACCAATTGTTATGTTTTGTGTTTCGTCTTTGTTTTGAATGTGTCCATATTGATGTACACCTGTTTGTTTGGTTATTTTATTTTTGTTACTGTTATTCATTGTATTATCTGGTTTTATATCAATATCCCTTCTCGCTTTCAGTTAGTCTGTAATGTTTGTTGTACATGCATTAACTGGTGAATTAAAATTAAAAAAATGAACAAAGGTGTTTCTAAAACCATTTGACTCAGAAATAATAATATTTTATACTAATTGACCTCTAAATAAGAGATTTTAACAGTTGCAACAGTTTTGAAACGCTTAGTTAAAAAAAAGAAATACAGTAAAGAAGGTAAACTGAAAAGACTTTGCAATATCAAAATAAAGATGGAGTACGAAATGTTAAAAGAACATCAGGAGGAATTAAAGCATCTTATCTAGAGTTTTGCACAATATTTTTATTTATTTACATTATGTTCTACATTCTCACACAATTTGGTGGAGCTAGTCATGCGGTATAAAAAGTTCGTATCCAGGTTTGAAGAAAAATGCTAACTGCTCCTTTAAGTTCACAGAAAAAAAAAATACTTTAAAGGATGTAATTGCACACACTCACCGTTTGATTTCCCTGCAACGCCTTGTGGATACGCGCCCTGTCCAAGCGCAGCAGCAGCTGGAATGTGAGGTTCAGAAAAAGAGAAAAATGTAAAAGTTAACACCCAAAATTAAAACTCACCTTCGAATCAGAACTAAATACATCTAAAGACTAACCACTAAGTTTTCCAGCAGCACCGCCCAGATAAGCGCCTTGTCCTAAACCTGTGAGGAAAACGTGAGAAACATTTATCATCAGTTACTGAAACTGCTGAAGAGGAGAGAAACTTCCTGTAAGGAAACCCAGACGTTACCTCCTCTGTAACCTGCAGCGCCCAGATAGTTTCCTGCCCCTCCGATGTAACCTGCAGACAAACCGAGGACAGAAAGAAAAAACTCAGTTTGTGCTGTTGGTTCACCTGGAGGACTGGAGTCAGTCTGGAGTTTCTCTAAACAGAGAGAGAAAACATAAACTGTCTGCAACAAAAATGTTTTATTTGCAGTTTCTGCGCCAGGTGGAAACTTTCCTGGAATAAATTCAGAGAATCCAGAAACTGAAATGTGAGAAATGCATAAAACAAACAATCATCAGGAAGAGACACAAAACAGGCCCACAGATCCAGCGCCATTTTTAACAGTCAGCATAACTTGCTTTGTTTTTTTTTTGTCTTTTAGCAACACACACACACACACACACACACACACACACACACACACACACACACACACACACACACACACACACACACACACACACACACAAAAATACACCTGAGCGTGATTGTTGATGAAAATTTCAACCTTAGTCTCAAGTTTTCTGTTAAATTCTTTGTAGCATTAAGCAAATTCCACTTTTACTTTTATAATGGTAGGAAAAATCTTTTGCTTTTGTTCTTTCACCCAAATACAACAAAGTTTCAGGGCCATGTTGACATGACATAGAAGACAGAAGCTTTATCAAAAGGTTGAAACAAAAACAATAAACATCAGTTTTATTCTCCTTAAGGCTTAGAAATTTTATCTCCGTCCATAATGAAGACTGTATGTTCAGGTCGTATTTGTCATCATCCAAGGAACGTAATTGGAAAGTTGGTTACAAAGCATCAAAAAGAAGAAAGAGGACTGAGAACAGAACCCTGAGGGACGCCAAATTGTAATGTTTCTGCTGCTGAAGGGAAAAGAATATTAAATACACCGGCATATTGATGCATATTAAATGTAAGATAATAGGATTGTTGTTTCTCTTACTTGCCGCCTGCGTATTCCTCTCAGTCTGCTCTGGCAAACGAAGAGGTTTTGACTTTCTGTTTACATTTCCAGCTATAGGAAGGAGTCTGGCATCTTCTTGAGTAAAACCACCAACTTCCTGCTCCTCTCTGGTTAAGGTGGCGCCCAAACTTTGGGTCCTGATCGGATCGTAGCGCTGGGATCCGTCTCTGACCCTGACAGGTCTCTGGAGGTCCTGACTGTTTTCTGGTGCAGTTAAAGGATTGATGCCTGCTTGACGTTGCGCGGTGGAGAAAACATCGCTTCTGCCATCTTGGCTTTGTGCAGGAAGATTTTTACACCCGAACCGTTTCCCAGCTTTACCCTCTGAGGGATTAATGCCCAACATTTCTGGCAAACCAGCAGGAGCTCCACAGTTTTTACCGTCTTGATTTGCCGTTCCTCTGGGATTGTGAAGTCCAGGATTGTAGGAATCCAGACTTTCGATGTCTTGATCAACAGGAAGTTGTCTATTTATACCAGCGCCTGCCAGCATGGCCTCATGACCTCCAGGTTCATACTTTCCACCGAGAAATTTTTGCTGTTTATCAAGAGGAAATGAAGGTCTGAGATTTGACGACGATATGCTCGGATTGAGTCGTCTGACTTCAATTCTTGCGTGAATTCTGGGGACAGTCGGACCGAATACGTTGCTTCTCCTCAGCGACTGTTCTCGCTCTCCAGGCATTTCATCTACAGCTCTGCTCTTTTCTCTTTTAAGATCCTGAGCTGCTTGTGCCAGACTCGCCCCTTCAGGTCCACCCAAATCTGCCGCAGACACACCTGGCAGAGAAATATCATCAGGCACTCACAACTTCCTGTTTGGACAGTCGGCGCATTTCCTGCAGAGGAAGACACACTGACCGTCCTGGTATTTGAAGAACTGATTTTTCTATGCTAATAGCTCAAGCTAAACTCCTCCTTCAGACAACAATCAGTGCTTTTGTGGTATGAAGTTAGCTTAGTGGGAAATCCAGCTTTCTTTAGATTTTTAGGAAATTGTGAATAAAGAGAGGAAGAAAACCTTAGAGTAAAGCATCACAACCCAACCTGAGCTGAGAAAAAAACAACTTGTGAGAAGATATGGATGAATGGATGGAGTTCAACAATTCTGAGAAAACAAACATTCTTGTTTAACAGGCCTTTTTACTAAGTGTAAAATGAAGCTTAACGTATTTAAACTTTAATGTATTTATGTTTTGCAATCGTTATGAGGCCACAGATAATTATAGCTGATCAATGAAAATTCACTGTTAAGATCCACAGCTGTCAGAGTTTTGGTTTTCTTTTATGTTCTTATTTAATTACTTCTGGGTTTATTATTGTTGGCAAAGGTCTTGCCATATTTAGTAATTATTACCATTAAGGTTTTGCCATTGAGGTTTGTTGTTACCATTAATGTTTTGCCATTCAGGTCAGGAAAAGCTATTCAAGAAGGAAGATACACAAAAGGAATCTGAGTTACAGACACACAGAATACTACACCGTCTTAAGAGAATTAAATCCAAATGTACAAGGAAATGAACAGAAGAATAAACCTTAATGGTAATAACAGCTAAATATAGCAAGTTGTTGATAAGAGTAGAGCTTTCCTAACCGTAATAAATCCAGAGGTAATTAGAGAAGAACATAAAGAAACACAAAGCTTTTCTCAGATTCCATACAAAATACAATCAGTTTGGCAGAAGATAACAAAATATAAGCTGCATTTGTATAAAAAAGGCCATAAATTACGAAGCAGGTGCAGAGGATGAGGGTTCAGTACTAACCTGGCCGAACTCCTTGGTAGCCAAGCCCAGGGAAAGCTCCATATCCTGACAAACCAGAAGACAAACCAATCTTTCAAACTCACATAAGGCAAGCTGATTCGCTAAACAATCGTGGAAGAAGCAAAGTATTTATTTACCTGGGAGTTGGCCGAGGCCTGCACCATAGACTGGAAAGTCACAAGAAAGAAAAAGTTGAAATATTTCCTGATTAAACTCTGTGATGTTAGAAACAAAGACTAAATGTTTTGGGGGTTTTTTGTTGGTAAAATGCAGAAGCACAGGTTTAAGTGGTTTTACATCTTTCATAAACAGTTTTCTGTCAAACAGAACCTTCAAGATGACAATCATGTGATCAGATATGATTTTATCAATCAAATCAAAGCAGTTTTTATCTGTATGCTCCAGTTTTTCACAGAAGTTCACTTAAAGTCAACAGATCCCTGCTTTTTCTAAAGTAATGCAGCAATAGCTGCATTTCCATTGACCTTATAACTGCACAGTTTGATTTTTTAAATAAATTTTGTTAATGGAAACACCCCAATTTTTGGAAAAAAAAAAATCCTTGTTTTTCAATCAAAAAAATTTGGATGCTAGGATGAGGAGTTGTTTTTAAGGAAGTAATTAGTTTATTTGTCATGTTCTGGGGTTTTCTTTCAGCTCCTTGTGGAGTTTTGTGTATGCACTGGTTTTGTTTCCACCACTAGAGGGAGCCTATTCCATTTGGTCGGAGGGCGAGGATGACGTCATCCCACACCTGAGGCGAATTGAGCTCATCAACGAGACGTTCAAGAGAGGCAGACTGCCAGTCCTTCGGCGCCTGAGTGTTAGCCAGTCATGGTAGCTCCAAGCCCCTAGAAGCTTGCTTCTGTTACTCTGTTTCCTAGTGAAAAAGAAAACTTCCTTGTTGTTTTTTCTCGCCTTCAGGTGCTTCCTCCTGGCCTCTCGTTGTCCGAGCCCCCAGACTCACTCCATCCGTGAACCATCCAGCTCCTCCCAGATTCCCACGACTGGCAGTCGTACTGCTTCTCTACCGCCGCCGCTCTAGCCTACCTGTCCGCCCTCCGACGTGCTCCCGTTTCTTCCTGGATTTCAGCCAGCCAACATCACCGCGACCTGGAACCACTGAGAACCATAAACCCCGGACATTTCAGTACTCCCTCACCTCGCTAACCCAGCGGTCCTTCAAGTAAGACTTGTTCCCTCCCTCACATGCAAATTTTACTAGAACCTTGAACTCACCATCTACTCTGCCCTCCAGTGAACCGCTTGTTTCCTGTTGTCGCCTTTCTCCCTGGATCGACCCGAGCCTTCAGTGCTCTGCAGCAGTGTCTTCAATAAACTTCACATTTTTTTCTGTACTACAGTTTTCCCCTGAGTGTGTTCTGCATTTGGGCTAACTATTCACTCCCATTATGACATTATTTCACAAAACTGCAATGGAATCACCTTTTTTACATCACACACCTCACATTATCAACAGCCGGATGTTACTACTGGCAGAAACGATGAAAAAGAACATGACAGGAAGTAGTTTTGAGGATGATGGCGCTGAATGTTTTTAACGAGTTATTGCGCGAACAAACTTATTTACGTATGATTTTAATCAGGTTTTTGATTTAACAAAAACATTATGACTCCGAAATGTTATTGTTTTGACACTAGCGGAATATTGACAAAGTTATGCGCACATTTGTAATGGAAGCAGAACTATTTTTCATTTATCAGAAAACATCAGGTTTAAGTGACGCTGCGTCCCACCAGCAGGTGGCAGTGGGCGTTAGCCACCTGCTAACTCCTGAGCTTTCAGCTTTACAAGTTTATTCAAGTTTTTAAGTTATAGTCTGTGGTCAGTGTGACGAGGAACAAAATGTCAAATTTTGCAAATATTTCTAAATTAGCATCAGAAAATCTCAGTTTGCAAAAAACCCAACAAAAAAAACCATGAAATTGTGGAGGGACTGATCAATCTGAAAAGATATTAATATTAGATAATTTTAAGGACTTATTGAATGCAGAGACAGTTATTGATCATTTAAAAGTTAATGGTTTTTATGATCTTTATAAGTTAATGACTCCAGAACTTCATTTCTGCTGATCTTACCACGTTTTCCTGCCTGGCCCAGTCCCAGTCCGTTGGTAAGCCCAGTGCCCAGTCCCATTCCCGTTCCCAGACTGGCGCCTGAAATCACAGGAGTGAGGCTTAAATGGAGACAAAAGGGGGAATCTGTGAAAACGATGGAGGATCACCTACCGTATCCCGCCGGGGATCCATATCCACCGGGCTTCAGGCCTCCTCTTCCTCCCAGTCCCAGAGATCTGTATCCTCCTGCAGGCCAGTGGAAACTAAAGTTTGTACTGGTTCTGCCATTTGGTTCAATCAATTGACTCAAATAGAGAAAAATCATAATATGACTTTATTTTGCTTGGACATCAATTTGACTTTATGTAAAATTTCCATTTTGTATGTTTTTGAGCCTCCATTTGGCCACCCACCCAAAAACACCCCGTCGTCTTCAGGCAGCAAGTCGACGTTCATCAGGGTCTGAAAAATGATCCATTTCAAAAACTACCAAAATGTTGATTCCCACCATTACTTAGCAACCACAGCCACGCCCAGCCCGTTACACCCGAATCAGAGCAGCTAAATCAGCTGATTTAACCACTAAATGCAGCTGTAAAATGTAAAATAACGGCCAGTAGCAGCTAAGTTGGACTGAAAGTGGAAGCACCCATCATATAAAAGAAGCTTATAAAAGACAGAATTGATCAGACTAAAATATCAATATCTAACGATGATTTTGTGCCAAAAAACAAAAACATAGATCAATCCAGGTTCAGGAAACCTTTAAAATGAATTATTTTTGTGTTGGCTTGGACGTCTATCTACTGATGCAACTATTATTAATAAAAATTTGATCTTAACTTACCAACACCGAGATGAGCCGCAGGATAACGTCCAACTGAGATGAAAAATAATACAAATAAATACACAAAAACTGCTCTTTTTTTAAAAGTTATGAGTTCACACAGAGTGGTTTTGATCTGAAGATAAGTGACATACTTCCAGTCTTCATTGCTTTTGTGCCGTATCGGTTGCCTACGGCTCCCAGGGCTTCAGTAACTGGACACAAAAGGAGACAAACTTTTTATTTGTCTTTTTTTATTTTATTTTGTAAACAGGTTTTTGGCATATATGTTTGCGAAATAAATCTGCCTCAATTAGTATCTGAAAAAAACTGCAATACTCACTCTTGACCAGTAGGCGGCGATATTGTCAATTATTATAGCATACAATTTTAAAGAAATAAGTTTTTCTTTCTATAATGAATGCAAATTCTCCAATAAATAAAGAAAAATAAATAACTGGAACAGAAGTATTTATTTGGGTGGAAGAAGGAGGTCAAAACTGAGCAGAAAATGTAATTTGTAAATGTTTGTTTAAAGTTTTGTTGTGTTTATATGTTTTTGTTTTTATACACAGAAAAGTAGACGAACATACTCAAATAAATTGGATAAATGCAGCTTTTGTGCTTTAAATTTAGGAGATTTAATTGTGAATAGATGTAAAGGCTAACCTCCAGGTTTCACTCCAATGCCAACACCTGAAACAGAAAAGAGACATTTGTCTAAAATACAAGTTCTTTTGATTTCCTATGTATGTTTCTGTTTTTCTTAATCAAAAGGAATAAATAAAACATCTCAGAAATTGTCGTACCTCGAACTGGCAGCGCTCTCCCAAAGGCAACATTTTGAGGACTAACTCCTGGAATATTAAGAATGATAGAAAACAAACAACCAATAAAACAACCAATATGCATATTACTGTGGAAAGATGAACAGAAACCTCCATGCATTATAAAAATGGGATTAAAATGCAGCGACTTCGTGGAGCCTTGAAGTTTTTCTCACAACATGCTGTCAGATTTTTCCTTCCTTTGATTTGCAGAAAACAGACAATCTGAACCACAGCGACTGGCTGGCCGCCGCGGAGCCACATATTCACCGCTTTGTCTTCATCCTCGTCAGTCTCACAGACACGATATTTAACAGGTATGTGAGAAAAGGTCACTGAAGACGGCGAATCATTAATCAAGTCTTAACTGAAATTAACGTCTCGTTTCTTCTCTAGGTTTTTGCAAATTCAGCTAATTTCTTGTAGAATATTTAATATTATAGTAATCAAAGGTGAGTATGATGGTACTAAAGTAAGAGTAACACCACTTCAACATATTTTCACTCAAGTAAAAGTAAAAAGTCTAGAAAGTTACTCAAATAGGAGTAAAACAAATATTTGGTAAAAAAAAATGTTACTCAAATACTGAATGCACTGCAAAAACACAAAGTTTTATCAAGTTCTTTTGTCCAGTTTATAGTGCAAATATATTTATATACTTGAAATGAGACTAAACTGACTTAAAAAGTAGTTTTTCCTGCAAGATATAGGAGCTTTCTAAGCCAATAATTTCTTAATATTGATGAATAATTACTAGTTGACAAATTATTTCACTTTTAAAACTGATCAGCCAATTTAACTAGTATTTTTTTCAATATTAAGGAATTAGTGACTTGCATCAAACTCCTATATTATGCTAAAAAGTCACTTGTAAGTTAGTTTTGTTTTATTTCAAGTGTACTAAGATATTTGCATTAGAAACTACTAAAAATACTTTGTAACTAATCAAAACATCCGATTTCATATTTAAAAATAACATTATCAGACAAACCAAAATAAAAAGTTAAGTATTTTAAATACTGAAATGACAATAATTCCTATAAATAGCAAAATTACAAAATGCGGTTATTTTTTTCCGAGTTAATTTGTTTGAAAGTGTTTGATCAAAATAAACTTTCTGTTCATCCACTTCACTCAGTATGAATGAGTGAAGTTACACATTCACACTGAGTGAAGAGTAACTAAGTAATCCAGGAACTTTACTAAGTAAAAGTATTAAGTAACTGACTAAAATGCATTTAGTTACTCAAGTAAATGTAACTAATTAATGTTAATGTTGCATCTTTTAAATCCAGTCTATGAAAAGTTATTAAAAAATACAGAAAGAAAACAATATTTGAAAAACAAGTTAAACTTTTAATATGAATCCTTATGGTTTTCACCAACTTTACTACTAAAATCAACAAACTGCGTCCAAAATAATGAGAATTTTGGCCTGAAATCAGTTTAAACGTAATGAAAAGGTTTCCTCTTCCCTGAATTTTACAATGTTTGTTGTGAGTTTGTATTTCTCACCTCCTTGCAGAGTTTGCTGAGCCAGCCAGAGAACCAGCGAAGTCTGCAGCAGAGCGCGGAGCAGCATGATGGAGCCGGCTGGGAGGACGAGACAGAAAAACAGTCAGAAAGCTGCTGCAGAGACACCCTCACCTCTTATATATACGCCGGGTTTTTCTAACAACACGCCTCCGACCGGGCCGCTGTTTCCATAAGCTGAGGATCCATATGCATACACTGCAAAAACACAAAAGTATTTTTGTCTTGTTTGTACTGCAAATGTCTTAGATCACCTGAAATAAAACAAACTAACTTAAAAGTAACTTTTCAGCAAGATATAGGAGCTTATTTTAATACAATATTAATGAAAAAAATCCTAGTAAGTAAGAAACTTGATATTGAAGTTAACTTAATAATTCAATATGAAGAAAACTAAGTTCCTGTTTCTAGCTGAAAATGTAAGTTAGTTTCAGAAACTAGAACTTTCAATGCAAATTGTTGCTTCATTTCTACTATAAATATCTGAAATAAGACAAAGAAAACTTACTAGTAACTTTTCAGAAAGATATCGGAGCTTTTTTAAGTAAATAATTTCTAAATATTGATTTAAAAGTACGAGTTGTGCAGTAGGATTATTTCACTTATAACAAGACACTAATTTGAAAGTGGAACTAAATTCAATAGTGGAAATATTGAATTTTTCATCAATATTTATAAATTATTTACTTAAAATAAGATGCAATTATGTTATTTAACATACAATCAAAAAGAGCCATTTTTGTCTCCAGTCCACCAATAAAAACTAATTCAGATCCACAAAACAGTTTACTAAAGGAAACTGTAATATTGTAAGAACCACAGATTCATTTACATTTTTAAGCTTTAAAAATAAATAAAAACACTAAACGTTTGAGAATATAGGACAAACACATTATCTTGAATTTGCTAATAAAGATTATTTTCCAAACAAATGATAAAACAAAAATAGATATAAAAATACATTACTGGTACATTTTGTCAATCTGTTGTGAAAATTAAATAAATTTTTCCATGAATAAATTGAAAAACTGCCAAAATCTGCATTTGTAATTGTATCTGCAGGTAAAAGCTTAACGACAGACACCCAGAGGTTAGAAACTACAACCACCAGGAATAAAATCACATCCACAAATACTTGAAGTTGACTAAAACTACATAAAATAATAGTAAAATATACCTCAACATGCATTAATACAAGTAACATCAAACCAAAATGTTTCTGAAATTGAATGAAAGTCGCCAAAAAACTAATTCTGACTCTTAGATCAGCCAGTTAGAAACACGAGTTTTACAAAAACTGACCCCCTTTTTGATACTTTTTGAATTTTCTTCTCATTATTTTGTCTTTAATTTCTTTAAAAACCTTCTGAAACTTATAATGCGACTGACTTCTTTTCTCTATCGCTGATTTTGGAGTCCAGCACTACAGAGCTCCAATTGTGCCACAATTTCTATGAATAAGCCTTTGTAAAAGGTGAAAGGTCACAGATAATTCCTCTGAGATATTTTATAGTTTTTTTTTTTTTTGACACAACTTAACATTTTTTTAAATTTTATTTCAGCTGCTGCTTCTTGTCCTGTTTTAATACTTTTACCTGTTTTTCTGGTTCCACTTCATCATCACACCTGTGAGAACGAAAAGCTAAATAAACAGGACTCTCTCAAAGTCGTTTAAATATTGAGGTAAGAAATTAAGTGGAAAGAATGTGACATCATGTATTATATCTGTGCCAACCTTAGGGAGCAATTAGACAGAAAAACATGATGCAATGAATGTTTCTAGGAAGGAAACAGGCCTCATTAAAAAGCAATTTTACAGTTTCCTTCAAACAAAAATGGTCTCTAACATAAAAAAGTGAATCAGAAAAAAAGCACAGTTCAAAATCACAAAAACCTACCAAATATTTTTGGTTTATTTTAAGAGCAAATATGTTAGTTAACTTGATATAAGACAAAACTAACTCAAAAGTAACTTTTCATGAAGGTATTTAACTTGTTTGAGTCAATAATATTGATGAAAAACTTAGAACCAGATATTTTTTCCATTTTATATGTAACATAATCAGCCAATGGAAGTAGCAATTTAAATCAATTTAAGCAAATATTGATTTAAAACAAGCTATTTATGTAGCTGAAAAGGTCATTTCTCTTATTTTAAGTGTATTAAGACATTTGCACTAGAAGCTCAACAAAACAACTTGGTAGGACTTTGTGTTTTTGCAGTGCAGTATGGACGGCCTTTATGATCCTCTTTATGTTATGCTGCGGTGGGTCCTGTCAGCCATTTCTTAACGTAAAGTTTATGTCTTAAATTTGTGCACAGCAGCACTGAATGCAAACTATAGAACCACATATTATGATTTACCCGCTGAGGGAAAACAGCTGGAAAACGTTGGTCACATGAGCGGACCACCGCATCGTCTTCCCTGGTGGTACCGAGAGCAAGACAATAACACAACCCCCGTCTGACTCACCACTCCTTCATCCATGGCTCACCTCTAAACATTCGTCTGTCTGCGTCTGCCGGGGATACAACAGGTGGTTCGGCTTTCTGGAAGATCTCAGAGCTTCAAGATGGACATTAAAAAGGATTAGAGGAGGGAAAATGAGATTATGTTCAAATTTTAGTGCCTCGTTTTGCTGATGTAAAGTTGCTTATAAAGGGTCAGATTTAATGTTTCAGCATAACCTGCACATGTTCAATGTGGCTAAAGTGAAGGTTTTAGAAATGCTGCAAAATCAGAAAATATTATCAAGTGTTTTTTTGTTGTTGTCGAGTTTCCAGTGAAAATAAGGCAAAACCAACTCACAATTTACATTTTAAGCTTGTTTTAAATCAATAATTCCTGAATACTAAAGAAAATGTACCAATTTCACTTCTCACATGGGCAAACTTTGTGACTTTCATTAAAAAACATTTTTTTAAACATTTATTTGATAAAACTGTAACCTGTAGTGACAGTTTGTGATGAGACAGATAATCTGAAAAGATCGACATCCTCCTGAGTTACCACTGCTATCTGTCTGAACCAATCAAAAACGAGCAGTCAGAATCAGGAGGTGGGTCTTAGTGTTGCCAATCAACTCCACGAATGTGCTGCTAAATGTGCTCATGCTGGAGAAACAACTCACCGTTACAGAAAACCCATTTATTTGCTGTCATTGGTAGCTGTGCTAATTAGCATTAGGGTTCACAACAAGCTATGCTAGCTGCAGCTTAGTAGAGTAAAGGGGAAGGAGAGCATTTCACAGAGGGTGATTGACAGCACAAAATAAGTCTTAGATAATGAGATTCAAAGGCTTTTTGACACTTTAAATTCCGCAGAATAAATCTAAATCACATCGCGCCATCTTCCTTCCACTGACGCTCCTCCAAGATTTCCACCAGCACCTCGAACAAGTCACACACTGTGAACCTGGGAGATGTGCTGAAGCGCACTGCCTGTCAGACGGCAGGTAAACACTGAGAAGCTGATCGGCGGGCGGCTCGCTCCGTCTGCACGGGACCCGGGCGGTGCGTGGAAGTTTCCACTGCACGGGAACACGGAGCACCTCAGCATCGCTTCCTGGAGTCAGGATGTTATTGACAGAGAAATCCTGATGTCTGCATGCAGGAATTACATCATGAGCTTCTCTGGAGGCGCAGACTGATCGCCGCCTCCACTCATGGTAGTATGAATATTTCATCTGGGAACCATTTTAAGAAGTGGCAGCCACAGCGCCCTCTAATGGAGTGGCACAAATTAGCATTTTTAAAAATATTTTATGCTCGTGTCGCCAGTCTTTGTTCGTCTCAGGTCCAAAAGACTCATAAATGTTTAGATTAATTTCTGATTTTTTTTAAAACTCAAACATTTATGAGCCCCGAAAGTTGAAAATGTGTTAGAAAAACTCCTGGTTCATGTTATAAACTTTCTTCATAAAACTTGGATTTTTTTAAGCTTCAAAAGTCAAAAACTTTTGACTTGAAACTCAGAAAGTTCAAAATTCTTTTCTAAAATATTTCTGAGATTAACCCCAAAATGTCTTTGTTTTCTAACACATTTTTGACTTTTCAAACTCAGAAAGTCTTTAGCTGAAAAAAAAAATCTCAAATCAACCTCAAAATTTCAGATTTTTTTTTTTTTTTTTTTTTTGCACTGTTTTTATTTTTGGTGCCCAAACATTTCTGAGGTAAATCCCAAAACCTCTGAGTCAACATCATCCTCCAACTTCTTCCTGCTGGGTTCTTCTTCGTGGTTTTCGCCAGAGGCAACTTCCGGGTGTTGATCACGTGACAAAAGACGTGTTTCCATTGCAAATTTGCGAAATAAATACATTTCTATACAAACTCCCCCCCCTAACTCTAGGGTCAAGAAGTAGATTTTCTTTTTAAATGAGTGAATTTATTTTCAAAATATCTGGACTTACGACGCGCTCTGTGTTTTCAACGTGTTGTGCATGTATGATGCAATAAGAAAACACTTTAAAGTGACATTCACCTTCTTAATTGAACAAAACCAAAAAAATGATTTGAAGAGAATGTTCTTTTTACTGACATTATACATTCATCGTCTGCCTGAAACATCTTCAGACCGTCTGCATAACAAACATCAGAGAAACTGTTGCCATGGAGCTTATTATCTCAATAAACATCCCGGCTCTGAAGCACTGGGATACCAAAAGAGTCTGGGCTTTATGAGGGAGAGTCGGGCCAGAACTGGGCTGACAGAGAAACCCTTCACCTCCGTCCAACATCACACACACTTACTGCCAGCGCCGCAGAAAGTACTCAAACAATGTAAGTAAAAGTACAAATACACAGACAAAAATGTACTTTTCTAAAAGGAAAGTACCACGTTCATTTTTATGCTTGAGTAAAAGTGAAAAAACACACCTAGAGACACATAGAGATAGTTATAAAGACAGTATTCTATGACCTGGAGAGCATTTCCAGGATTAAATGTGCCAGCAAGATCTAGAGAAACTGTGTTTATCTTTCGTCACATTGATTACTGCAGCTTCAGCGAATCCAGAACAATTACATAAAACAATCAGCAGATTAAATTTATCACATTTCCTGAACCAAAGCTGAAGTTCAGACCTTTTTTTTTTACCAAAAGCAGGACATTCTAACCCGTGTGTCTATAGTAGCCAGTCTTCAGACTGAGACGGCAATTCATTTCTGTTTGGAACAAAAAGAAAACATTTAGACAGCCGGCTGTACGACTGTCTGACTTCACCGCTGGCTCCTGTTTCAGTTTGACCCGCTGCCAGGAGCTCCAGACAGAAATGACAAAAAAACTGCAAATGTGCTGCTGAGAGAGGGAGGACAAATATCCAACACTAAAAATACAAGAAAAGCATTTAAAACATGAGCAAAAGGTTTTCTTTTTAACTCTGGACATGAAACAAACTTTTAAAATGTTAGCGTACACACTGACTTCAGCATTGCTGTGGATCATTGTAAAGGCGGTGAGTTTGCTTTTTGAAGCATGTAGATCCAACTGCAGACATCAAATTCAACCCTGTGGTTAATATAAATACACAGTAACCTGGGGTCAAGATGTTTTACGGTAAAGAAGACAGCAAGTAATTCTGCTGATTATTTAAAGGGCATCTGTTCTGCAAAATTAACTTTTGCATTTTTTTTTTTTACTTCCATTTGGAACACTTAAAAAAAACCCAGAGACAGTTAGTTAATGTTTTTTGGAGTCTGGAAAACAAGCCGTTTCAAAGATCTCCCAATTTTTAAGTCACATTCTGTGGGTACTCCACCGTTACCTAGCAACCCCAGCAGAGTTCCACCCGTTACCTAGCAACCCAAAGAGGAGTTTGAGCACCTTTGGTCAGCTGGTCTTACCGCTGTATCCACTGTACAATGGCTGCTGGAAATAACAAGTGTTTTGTTGTTGACTTACCATCCAAAAATCACTTGGTGCATTCTTGTTGGTTGTGCAGAAGGCTCCACTTCTGCTTTTCAAAGGCATACAGTTGTATAATTGTGCATCTGTTTGCAGCTATTTTTACATGCGATAGTAAACATTGAGTTGGGGGTTCACTTTAAATCCAATTAACCATAACAGGTTAATTGGATTTAAAGTGATAAGAGGCCCTAAAACATCTAATTCTGAACTGAGCAGAATAAAATCTCATCATATAAGAACCATTTTATACTAAAACTGTAATGGATATGTTTTGTATAGGCCATAAACCTATTCTGACCCGCTTAATATTTTTGTAACCACATACATTGAACCTTAATATAAAAGTGATGTGCAAATATTAACGTGTCGGTCAAATCAATTAAATTTTCACTTGTGTAGGACCAAATCACACCAATGTGAAAAGATGTTAAATATTGTAATATTTTGAGAAGTAATATTAGAACACAGGGTAAAGTAACACTTTAACAGATAAATGGTTAGATTTGTCTATGGATTCAGAACCGGACCTTTGAGGACATTCATGATCTTGATTCAGCCTGGAATGAGAAACAACTTGTCATTACAACAAAACAGTTCATCCACAGTCATCAGTCGCTATGCTAACTAGCCTTGCTAACTAGCCTCAGCATTCAGGACAGGCTTCGTACAAAGCAGAAGTGGAGCCTCCTGCAGCAAGTTGTTTCTGGATGGAAAGTGATTGTAGCAGTGATAAAGGGGGGATGAACAGCACCGCATGGAGGTGATTGACAGCATTAAGACCCGCCTCCTGGCTCTGATTGGTTGTTTCTAGTTAGAACTGGGAGAAAACAGAGGAGCTTGATTTTTTTCACAAAATTTTACAAAGTATTTTTTTTATCTTGCTCATAGTGTAAATATTTTAATATCCTCAAAATAAGACAAAACAAAATTACAAGAAACTTTTCATAAACTCATAAAATTTCCTTTAAGTCAACAATTGCTTAATATTAATGAAAAAGCTTTTGTTCTACATGCAGATTATTTCACTCAAAACAAGTCTTGTGGAAATGTGCCAGTGGTAGAAGCTGCTATATCCTATCAGCTGCGACTTTGCACTTTGCCAAATATAAACCGAGTTTCTTGGCCGAGCGACAGACTGACATGGGGAGGAGTCCGGCACGGTCGGTTCAGCTCAGGACAGACTGAAGGACAAACAAGCAGAAAACAGCGTCTGTAGTGAAACCTCGACAGAACAAATCTCCTGAAGCGGTGAGTTTACTCAGGATTGTATCTTTTCAGTCTTAATCGACTCACCTGTTGTCTCGAGTTTTTGCAAATGGACCAGATACACAGCAGAAACCTAAAATATTACAGAGTATTTTCTTCTAGTTTCTGGTGCAAATATTTCATCACACTTGGAATAAGACAAAAAGTAACTTTCAAGTTACTTTTCAGCAAGATAGGAGCTTTAAGTAAATAATTCCTTAATATTAATCTAAGATTATTTCCTTTAAAGTACAAAATTTCCCCTTGATTTTAGTTAAATATTTTAACAATGACAATATTTAATCAATATTCATGAATTGTTGACGTGAATGAAGCTCCTACATCTTGCTTAAAAGTTACTTGAAAGTCAGTTTCATCTTATTTTAAAGTGTACTGAGATATTTGCACAAGAAACTGGACAAAAATATGTTTGTTTTTGCAGTGAAAGTTCAACTCGTAGATTATTTTACTTATAATAGCACATGTTTCCATGTTATAAGTGGAAAATCTGCTGGTGGAAGCAGCACTTTTGAACATTAAGGAATTATTTGCCTATATAAAGCTGCTATAACTTGCTGGAAAATTACTTGTATGTTAGTTTTGTCTTATTTCAAACATAGTAAAATATTTGCACAGCTAGAAACAGTTCTTCATAAGATTTTGTGTTTGATTGTGAACCAAATCTGAAATGTCTAAATCAGTTCTCGTGTTTGTTATGATTGAATTAACTGTTGATTTCTGCCTCTTCTTACATTAGACCATACATTTTACCACAGTAGATTATTCAGCTGTTTTAAAACTGTCAAAGTTTTATTTTTACAGCAGAAAATACCTAATTCCTTCCACTCCTGCAGATGTCGTTGTCTCCAGTTGCTTTGGCAGCTCGGCGAACGCTCGCTGCTGCGTCACACGCGAGTCACGAGGGAGGAGGTGAGCGAGTCTTTCCTGACCTTTTAACCAAACGCAGCACCCCAATGTACAACTACACATTAGATCTATTGTGGACAAAAAAGTAGGAGTAAATTAAGTTTAGGTTAATCTCAGACGTTTTCTAGCAAAGAAATTAGAAATTTTGAGCATGGAAAATCAAAAAAATTACAAGGAAATTTCTGCAGACCACAAGTTTGAAATTTGCAAAAGAAAAAGATGAAGAAAAAAACCCTGACATTTTGAAATTTATCCCAGAAATTTTTAAATGTATACATTTTTAAAGTTTAACCTTTTCTAAAAAAAAAAAAAAAACAAAATCCCCTGAAATTTTTAAGATTGATCTGAGAAATTTTCTAGAAAAAAATCTCAAAATGAAACTCTTTGACCATTTTTGAAACTCAGAAATTTCTTAATCTAACAAATTTTGTTTTTCAAGCAATTTTGTGACTTTTGAAACTCAGAAAATGTGCACATTTTTCATATAAAATGGTATATCTCTCAAAGCTCCAGAGACTTTGCTCATCTTGATCTACAATGATCTGTTTTTGAGTCGCACATGCAAACCCACTTTTTCTCCTCTGCATTCGATCAATTTGTTTGTTTCCGCAGCAAAAACCTGGAAGATCCTGACCATCGTTCTGGCTTTCCCCGGCGTCGGCGTCTGCATGGCCAACGCCTTCATGAAGGAGCATCACCATGAGCAGCCGGAGTTTGTTCCGTATTCACACCTGCGCATTCGCACCAAGGCGAGTTTGCAAACAGTTTTAATTTCCGTTTAAAACAACAATAACTGTTTTATGCTGATTTGCCTTCTTCCAGAGATTTCCTTGGGGCGATGGAAACCACACGCTGTTCCACAACTCTCACGCAAACGCTCTTCCTGACGGCTACGAGGGCTCAGATCACTGATCACTATTATTATTGATTATCTGAGCTGCTTCAAATACACCGACGGAACAAAAACCTGCACCGCCAACAATAAAACAACTTCATCCTGGATTCAGCTGCTTCTGGTTTTACTTATTCATAAGAAAACGTGCATCAAGCATCAGATATCCTTTAGGCTTTTTAGTATATTAAAAATTATTTGTTGCATTTTGGAACCAAATATATGTTTGAAACAAATAATCACAACTAATCGGCGTCTAATTCGACTAATTTAGTTTTCCTGGCATTTAGGAAATAGAAACAATTTTGGTCATTCTAGCTGACCTAAAATATGAGAAATTGTGTCTGACTTAACTTGAAACGGTGAGAAAAAAAAAAGTATTTTCATTGTCTTTAAATTCCTCATTTCAACTGCAAATGATGTTTTCCAAATTTAGACTTTAAATCAATATTAGAGAACTTCATTACAAAACTATGCAGTTTGATCAAGCAAGAATGTTTCCACCAAAAAAATTCACATTCGTGTTCAACAGTCGTTTTGAGATTAATTTAAGAAATTTTCTAGAAAAAAAAACTTTGACAGAAATGTTTGTTTTTGTCTAGAAATAGTTCTGAGAAAAATCTCAACAGTTGATGGTTTTTAAAAGCAAATTTTAAACTTTTCAAATTAAAAAAATAATTATTTTTAGACACCTTCAGACTTTTTGGCAGAAATTGGATGTTGTGATGCTGAATATGCATTTTATAAAAGCAAAAAATAAACGACAGTGAATTGGTGTGATAATATATTTATATGGCACAGCTCATATGCGTCTTCCATTTAATATCATCTTTATGTACAAAATAAACACCAAAGAAATTAATTTTGAAAATAAAAATACCCCCCAAAAAAAGCATTTTAAGAGATTTAACATTTTCTTTGATTGCATTGAAATAAAAAATAACGAATGCTTTGAAAATGATGGACATAAAGCACCGCTTATTTATTTTATTTTATTTTCTGAAACTGAAGCAGATTTCAGACCAAAGCCGCAGAAACGAGGCTCAGCAGGTCCCGCTTCAGAGTCTCCAGACAGTCGGCCTCTCTGGTCAGTCTGCGAAGGCAATCCGCAAATGGACCGGGTCGGTTCTGGAAGCCCAGCAGCATAGCAAGGCAGCCCCGGCCCAGAGCTGGGTAGCTATAGCGCTGGGAGAACCAGTACAACTGGGGAAGCGACGCCACCAAACCAGTTAACGAGGCAGACTGGTCCTCTTTTGATTTGGACCCAGAAAGGTCCGTGTTCTGGTCTAAACTCCCGCTGAGTCCAGAGAACGACGCGTCTCTTTCATCCACTTTTTCAGGCAAACCGTTTTGTTTTTTGGTCGGCGGCGTCGCCTCTGGCTCCGACGTTGGATCAGAACTTTTAGCGATGTGGGTTTTGTGTGACTGATTGGACCCATCGGACCAGGATTCGAGAAATGACAGAAGAACTTCCTCCAACTCCCTCTGCAGGTCGAGAACCAGAAACCTGGATGCGCCGATCATCGCTTCGCCGAACGGGGATTTCTGGAAACCTCCAGCTGAAAGCGACTCGGCCCGTTCCAGTCCGTCCAGAACCAGCGAGTTTAAAGTCTGACATCCCCCTCTGGTTTCCGGGTCCGAACCGAAGCGACAGCCGTGCAGGTAATGCAGCGGCGGCAGCAGCGTACCTGCGCTCACGTCTTTGATACGAATGGCTTCGTCCGCGTTGCGCTGGGCTTCTTCTCCGAACCCGCCTCTCAGCAGAGCCCGGAAGTATTCAGAACCGGCTCCGGCCACGGCCTCCCGGTTGGCTGGGAACCGGGTCGCATCGTCGAGCTCCAAAACCAGGTCAAAGTCCGAACTCCCGTACGGACAGGACGAGTCTTCCAGGCGAGGCTTCTTCAACGGCGGCGGGGAAGCTCCGGCAGGAGTCGGGTTTGGGTTCTTGTCGACCGGTTTGGGTTTAACGGAACCAGTCAGAGCAGAAAGGCATCCGAACAGGAGAGGGAAATACTGAGAAGTCACATCTGAATCCAACTCGTCTTCTTCCTCATCATCATCAAATGCGCAATCCAAAGGTTTCAGCGCCGCAAGGAGACCGCCGCAATCCAGGAGAAGCTTCTTCAACAAAGATTTGTTGCTGTTGGACGAAAATAAAGTGAAATATCTCCTTAAAGGTGCAGTAACACTTTTTAAAAAGTATATATTTTTAAATATTTGTTGAAACTGTCATCATATTGAGAAATATCAGATATGTGAAAAGATAAAAAAAACAACCAATCAGAGCGAGGAGGAGGGTCTTAGCGCTGTCAATCATGTCACGTACTCGCTGCTAAATGTGCTAATGACAGAGAAACATCTTACCATCACAGGAAACTATCTGAATAATTGTGATTGTTTATTGAAATGGTCGTCAACTAAAAAACTGATTAACCGTTAAGTGGAGAGCAGAAATTCAAAATCATAAAACAACAAAACTCCCAGACCAGCAATTAATACAAAATACACAAAAATATTTACGCTTTAGCTTTAATCTATTTTATAAGAAGTACATTTTAAATGTTTTAGTATTTTAAGCATAATTGGCAGATTGCTGCGTAAAGTGTTTTATTATAATTAGTCATCAGAATAATTGATGACTAAAATAATCGCTAGTTTTATATTTTGAAATGCTTCTCATACATCCTTAAAAATCCCCCAGTCTGAATAATGTAGTTTAATGTATAAACTATAAAAACTTATGCGGATCAATGTTAATGAGAAATTAGAATTGATAAATATTCAAAAATAAAATAAAAAATGTTCTCTAAGTTTTGTTGCATTTTTAGAAATATAAATAATTCTCATAATTCTAACAAAAAACAAGAAAAGTTTAGTTTAACTGCAAAACTTGAGATTTTTTTATTAAATGTATGAAAATATCTGGTTTCAACTGTAAAAGTTTCCAAATTTGTGTTTCATTGCACTTTATTATAAAACTCTGCAGTTTAAATTTCACTTCTGAGGAAAAATAAGTGCAAAATCATCCAAAATATAAAGAAACATTTTAATGAAAGGAAATTTACAACAATCGGAGGGTTTAAATGACAACCGAAGAGTAAAACAGCGTCCCGTATCTAAAAAACGAGGTACTCGCCTGGTGATGAATGGCAGAGACAGAGCGCAGTTCATCCTGTCCGACTCAGAACCGGACAGCATCACGTGGGTCAGAACGCCAGAACCGAACCCGGACTCACACTGGACACGCAAATTAGTCAGCAGCGCGTCACCTACGGAGAATAAGGCTCAGTTCAATTCTAATCAAATTATTATCTCTATTTTCATCATTTCATATGGAGTATTTAATAAAGAAAATCTATTATTCGAGTAATTGAATTTAAAAAAGGTACATTCTGCTGATTTCTCATTTAACCACTTAAACTTTCATATTTAATATTAAATATATGTAAAAAAATGCAAATAATTCAATTACCTTTCCTAAATAAGAAACTGCCACAATATCCTTTAGTTCACACATGGTTATTTGTAGCAAATAATACAAAAAAATACTTAAATAAGTTTCAGTTATGGGTAAGGCTAATCTGTTCCAATTAACCAATTAATAATTAGACAGCAAAAGGTGATTAATGACAGAATTTTACAGTAATTGAGCCAGGTTAAGCTTAAATTTTGCCAATTGTGGATTTCTGGGAAGAAAATATTTACAGACAAGAAAGAAATTTTTTATTTTAAGTGCAAAATGTTTCTATTTTGTTTTTATTTCTGCTCTGAGTGTTTTTCTTTTACCAAATGGCCTTTTTCTTAGTCTGTATGTGGCAGTTAATGATTAATCAATTACAAAATTAAATTAAATGACAGTTCAGTTACAATAAAATGTTTATTTTCTCATTTTAAAAAAAGAGTTTAATTATTTATTTTCATATTTTAATTTATTTCTTATATTGTATAAAAGGCTTAAGAAGTTAAATGAAAAAATCTGCAGAAGGTACAATCAATTTACTTTTTAATTAATCATCAGAAATAATCAATTAATTGTGAGAATAATAAATAAACCGATTAATCAACAGCTGAAACAATGATTAGTTGCAGCCCTCCTGCTCTTACCGAGCTGTTTCACTTTGGTCTTCACTCTGTCCGTCTGCCTTTGTCGTCCCCCTGACCCGTCTTCGTTTGCGCAGAGACGGTGGCGAATCAGCGCCACGGAACCGGTCCGAACCAGTGCCTGCAAGCAGCTCGGGTTGCAGCTCAAGCGGCAGAGCATGCGGAAGCACCTGCTGCTGGGGTCCTGGTGCTGGGTGAGGTAGCAGAGCAAGCCGGACATGACGGCCGAGCTGACCAGCGCCGCACTGGGGTCGCTGGCGTGCGAGAAGCGGGACAGCAGCAGCAGGATGGGCGACTCCGGCGTCCAGGGCTCGGGGTGGTAGGGGTGATGGTACCCCCCGGATCGGGGGACCGAAGGAGGGCTTTCTAAAGACACTTTAGCTAAGGAAGCTGCTGAAAGAGAGCGCCGCCGTTTCTGTGAAGAGGAGAACTTGGATGGGGAAACGGGGGAGGAAGCAGCCAAGGTTTGGAGATCGAAGGAAGAGCAGGAGGAGGATGAAGTAGGTGGCAGAGGTGATTTTTTGGAAGCAGAGCTGGATGAAGTCGGGGTTTTAGGCGAAGGGCTGCAGTCTGGGTTTGGGGAAGAGGTTGGAAACGAGAAAGATGAGGTGTGAAGACTCCCCCATTCCGCATCAGCACAGGAGGAATCCAGCAGCTCTCCTTCAGACGAGATCAACCCCTCAGAAAGCAACCAGGACCTGCAGAGGCGACATTCAGGCTCAGCATGCCATCAGCACCACCATGACTTCAGTGTCTAAATACTTCAATCTCTTAATATTGCAACTTTATTCTCTTAATTTAATTATGGTTCTAATACTCCATCAGAGTAAGAGGTTACTGTTTATTATATTTTATAAATATGTCCAGGTCTAATAATGTGAGAAAAGTAATAATTTTCTGTTTATTGAGTCACAATTAAATACATCTGACACACAAAATAATGTTAAAGTTTAATTACTTTTTGTTTAAATTCACCATATTATGAAAAATTTGGCCTTTTGTGTTATGGAAAGGCAGCTGTCTCTCTTGATTCAAGAGAAAACTCAGGTTTTTAATGAAATGGCTGCTTATAATCAACATTCGATTAACTCGTTAATCAATTACTCTGATTATGTTTTCCATACCTGAGGCTTAAGAAGCTGGAAGAGCTTTGCTCCCTCCCGGCCTCCTCCCTCCTGAATCCCTCAGGCGGCGGGAAGTCAAACGACTCCAAACAGGAGGAGGGCAGCAGCTCGTTGTGAGCCATGTTGGACGCTGCGCTCACGTCCGCCCTCTCCGCTGCGTGTTCCTCTCCTCTGGCGAGCTTCGCCAGCCGTGCGACCAGAACAGGAACCAGGCCCAGCTCCTGCAGCTGCTCCATCGCAGACTCATCAAAAACAAAGTCCACACAGGCCAGGATGGCGAACCTGGACAGCGGGTGATTCTGGTGGGATGACAGGAACGTCATAAGAACCTCCAAACCGCCGTTTTCTTTCACCTTGGCGCGGTTCACCGCCTCTTTGCAGCACAAGCATAAAGCCTTGAGGAAGACTCCGGATCTGAGCGGGTCCTTCTTCACCTCCTCTGTGAACCTCTGAATGACCCCCAGCGACCCCACCAGCGGCCGCAAGCAGCCCTGAGAGCAAACGTTAGCTAGCGTTTTCAGCGCCAGCTCTTCGAAATGTTCGCCGGACTCCCCCGTCGCCATGACACCAAGCTGCGTCAAGATGCCCGAGCGGGAAACTTCCCTGGCGCATTCGACGCCGCAGCCCCTGGTCAGCTCATGGAGGGTCCGCAGGGTGGCGCGCCGCAAACCGGGGGGGTATTCTGGGGCGATAAGGGGGGCGAGGGCCGACAGTGTCCCCTGGGTGAGCAGCGAGAGGCGGTTGGGCGGCGAGTCGGAGAGGTAGAGCAGCGCTCGAGCAGCGGACTGGGCGCATTCCAGTTTGGGAGACGAGTCAGAGGGCGGAGCCACGGTGGGAGACGACAGAGCGGACGACAACGACACGCAGAGGAGGAGGAGAGGAACGCCACCTAGAGGTGAGTAAAGAAACAATTAGAAATGTTTTATCCAGATGGGCTGCAACTAAAATTTTTTTGAATAAAAAAACTCAATGCAAAAACACAAAACCCAAGTAATTTTACTCTCTTTTCTAGTAGAAATATTACATTTGAAATAAGACAGAACAAACATCTTTTCAGCGAAATCTAGCAGATTCTTTTCAGAGGATAATTTCTTTTGAGCTTTTCATCAATATTAAAGAATTATTTACCTAAAAAATGCTCCTATCTCTTGCTAAGTTACTTTTTAAGTGCCGTTGCACATTCATCAGAAACTGCAGCGCTAAGACCCTCCTGGTTTGACTGGGAACCGTTCATTTCTTCAAATGGAAATAGTAGCTCAGCTATTTCTGTCCAGGCCCAAATGCACACCACACGTTTCAGACTGCTAAGTTAAATTTTGACTGTCTTTGAAGAAGGCTGCATAGTATTACTGCAGTTTATCTTACAGTTTGCAAATCGCTTTAGGAGCAATGTGAATTTAATATTAAACATGCTTTAATTAAATTCCAGCCATTCTTTTGCAATATTTTTATTCCAAACAATATAAGTTAGTATATTGTGCAGCTCTTATATAAATCAAAATTAGGCTTTACCTTTTGTTGTTTTATCATACAAACCCAAATAATACATATTTTTACTGTAAGGTTACATATGGAATTATTCACAGTTTTAAAGCTTCAGAAAAATAGAAACATTTTACAATTACCAGCAGAGTGGATGAGTGCAGAGCTCTCTGGGTCCATAGCCAAGTTCCCCAAAGCCCTGGCAGCCCGGTTCTGGACCGTCTCTAGAGCCACGTTTCTCTTCATTATGTCCACTATTAAAATTATCAAAAAGATTTTTTAGATTTATTAAAAATCAATGACTAGGGTGGAAATAGCAGCACGCATAAAAAAATCTAAACATAATGTAGAAGAGGGGTGTCCAAAGTGTGGCCTGGGGGCCATTTTTAGCCCTTTAAAGGATTTTTTTCGGTCCCTGACCACATAAAATTTGATGATAAGAATTTGGGCAAACCAAAGCAAGAAGTTTGAAAACCACAGATGAAGAAATGCTCTTCACTCACCGACAATGTTTATCCCCTCGAGCTTGCGCACCTAGAGTGGAAAACATAAAATATTTTAATGAGTCTAAAAATAAATAGGAATATGGGTTGTCTGAGTGTGATGTCACCTCTAAACGCGTTTCCAGCTCAGTGCAGCAGTTGGCCAGGATGCTGAGAGCCAGGTCCAGAACTTTCCTGGAGCACTGGGGATGTTTGAGCAGGTTCAGCAGGACTTTGAGTCCACCTTTCTCCCTGAACCTGGCGATGCCTGCCTTGTCGCCTTTGATATGCTGGGTCCTGATGGCAACTAGGGCTCGCCACTGATGCATCTTTGACCGTTTGTCTGTGTCTTTGGATGGGGTTGTCTGATGCTCAGCCCGTCCTGGTGACCCAGGTTCACAGAGGTGGGCCAAACACCAGGTCAAAGAGGACTCTGGGGTCAATGTTTGGCTTTCTTTGGGGGTTATTCTCGGCAGCCGCCCGTCACTTTTAACAGGTGATGAAGCCATGACTGATAAAACTGGCAGGTCGCGCGATAACTTATCCAAACTTTGCTATTGTTAGTTCAGCCAGAACACCGTTAGGCATCACAGGACACCACCAGTGAAGCAATAAGGCACAAAATCGCATCTTTCTTCACGTTTAACAATTGCAGAGTTACTAATTAACTAGCAACGCTCTTCAAAATGCTTAACGGGCTATGCACAAACTACAAATACCGATAAGACAATGGAAAGTTGTATCACCTGACGCCGCACTCCCTGATGGGAAACTGAGTCCCCACCCACAGGTCCGCTCCATTTAAAAAAGGCCTGCCGCTTGAGAAGGCCTAGAAACCACTATTCGACGTAATTGGCGTGTATCTGCAATACATCATTTTTTTTAAATTCAAATTGTAAAGACAGTGTTCTATTTTCGCAATGTTATGTTACCAGAGCTCGAATATATTTTGTGGGGAAAAAAGTGCAATCGCCTTCGCTAGCCGCTAACGCCATCTTTAGCCAAACAACAAAACGGGGGCGGTCTCCGCAGTGGAGCAGGGGCCAAAGAGGTGGGGCTGTGAGCGAAAGCTGGGAATTGTAGTTTCAGTTCTGATTCAATTCCACTATTCTATTTGACACCCTCCTTCTATAAAAACTACATTGCCCATGGCGATGCTATGCAGCGGCTCCCGTGAAACAACCAAACGCATTTAGGGCTTGTAGTTTGTTATGGGAATCTTTAAGGTTTAAAATACACATGAAGGACTACAAATCCCATATTACAAAAGATCGTCGTTGCAGCAATCGTTTAATGACGGGAAAAAAATTCATCGATGCATCTGTAAAGGTTGTTAAATTCCGCGATAGAGACACAGTTAGTGAATGAACACTTAAATCTTTCAGTGGGGATCTAGATTTAAAAAAATATGGAAGTAATTGAGGCGATAGTGATACAAAATGTAAATGCGGACGGAAAGGAGTCGGCTGCGTCCAGCAGCGAGAGGATAAAAGCAGGTTAGTAACAGAGTTTGGAGTTAGACATGTTTGAACCAGTCATCGCATGAAGCGAGGAGAGACTGATGAGCCAAGCGTGTTATCATTAAACTGCATCGAAATAAAAGACTTTTTCTTTCAACAAATTCACTTTAAATATATTTCGTCACATTTTCCGGTCTATTTGTTTTATTATTTTGTTTGAAATGATTATTTATTGACTATGAAATCCATCCTCAGGAATAGTAAGCTTCTTTGTTGACATTACAGGGTTGCGGAAACAAAGCAGTGCAACACATGTGGGCGCTGATTGAGGGGGGCGCCAAAACTGTTGCAGAAAAGTATTTTGAGTTAGCATTTTCTGTGTTTAGCAGCTATTTGCGCATGTAAATAATAAAATAAATAACAAAAACAGGTCACTTACTTGCCTGCCTAGTGTCCTGTTACATCCAGTACTTCAACGCTCCAATTAGGGCCACTCTATATTAAAAAATGGTACATTTTACATAAAATAAACAAATCTGAAATTTTAAGGTTGATCCAATAAATTTTCTTGAAGAATCTTGGAAAGTTTTGAGTTTGAAAAGTTGATATGAGAAACATTGAAGATAAAAAAAAAAAAAGAAAACTTCAGATTTTTGAGAAGTTGAAAATTTGGTTGAAAAACCTCATTCATGTTTTTGGAAGAAAAAAACTGGGAAATTTCTGGTTTTGAAAAGTTGAAAACTGACAAGGAAAATCAGAAATTTTCTAGAAAAATATTTTTCACATTTGTTTCTAAATTGTTGCTGAAATCATCAAAAAAAAATTCTTTAAAATTTTTTAGTTTTCAAGCTCAGAAATGCCCAAGTTCTCTTCTATAAAATCTTGGTTTTTTCTAGCAATTTTTAAATTTTTTTTTATCTCAGGCACTTCTGAGTTTTTTGGCAGAAATTTATTCCTCCTAGTTTTTTTTTAAACATCCCTAACACGCCATCCTGCAGTGCAGATATCAACTGCCACTAAAATTATGTTGGTTTTTTTTTGTTTGTTTTGTTTTGCAGAATTCATCTGGACTCTGCAAGCCACATGGCACCTGGTCAACACCCGGCTGGAAATGGATCAGGCGTTTGACCACCCAGTGTGCAAGAAGAAGAAGCTGTGGGAAGTGGTAGCAGAGAAGGTAAACGCCAAGCTGAAGGGTTCAGGGGTCACGGACATCACTGTTAAGGCCTACGAATGCGACCTGAAGTGGAGAAACATGCTGGCCACCTACAGGAAGAACACAGACCGGGCCCGGCGATTGGGCGTGGCCAGCGTCCACTGGGAGTTCTTCAAAGCCATGCATGAGGTTCTGGGTAAGAGCCGGGAGGAGATCGAAGCCCAGCGCCAGGCCAAGCTCAGCGGAACCAGAGTGGGAAAGGCCATCGCCAGCAAGAGGTTCACGCCGATCCTCCCCACGCCGCCCGCAGCAGCCGCTGCCGCCACCAACCGGCCCCCGCAGGACGTCCTGCAGCTCTACATGGAGCTGCAGGAGAGGAAGCTGAACATGTGGGCACAGCAGAAAGCGCTGGAGGAGAGGAAGATCGAGGCCATCAACAACCTGGCCCAGGCTATCTCCAGCCTGGCTCAGACCAACACATCAAAGGACTGACAGTAGTTCATGACACATCAGAGGAAAACCTCACTTTTCTTGTGTTACTGTAGCAAACTGACAATATAAAACTCTAAGCTTTTGTTTATGGTGCAAAACCGACTGTACATGCAATATCATAGCTCCTGCAACTGCTTGATAATGCAGCTGTTAGTTGTACGTTTTCTTTTCTACATGTCCCAAAGTTATTTATTTTTCTACTTAAATGAGTTACATTTGGTGTCTGAATATGAAAGAACACAAAAGAGCCACTAAAGAAAAGGTGAACATGATTTTTATACATAATCAGAATTATTCCTGTAACACCTGTCATGTTAAAATGTAATGTTTATAGAGCTGCTACTATTTACAGAAGTAAATATTATTATAAACGTGTCTGCATTATTATCAGAGGTGGGTGCCAAAAATGTAAAGTAGCACTACTTTAACTTATTATTACTCATAAAAAAAGAAAGGGAGAAAAAATAAATATTTATAGTTGTCCAAGAAATTACTCAAATAACAGTAAGAAAATGTTTGATAAAACAGCGATTCAAATACATAATGTAGTTTTTAAAAATTACATAATCAGATGGACCAGAATACAAAGCTATGAGGAAATATTGGTATTTTAACGAGCAAAATAAAAATAATATAAGATAATGAATCCATGCAAAAATAAATAATTTTCCAAATCGATTTCTTGCAGTACAAAATAAAGCTTTAACAAAAGCTGTTAATATTCTGTTGTCCAACACACAGAATAGTTGGACAACTGAAATAAAAGCCACTTTTTAGAATTCTGTCGTTTGTAATTTCTTTTTAAGAAAAAATGGATGTGTTATTAAAATATCGGAGATTTTTTTTTTTTTAAATAAATGTCCGATATGTATTTATTTATTACCATTTATATTCTGTCACGTGATTCCGGACTTAATGTTCCTCAGCAACAAATCGGACACAGCATCCCGTCTCTGAACTCCGTCCTCGTCTTCCTCCCCGTCCTCCTCCTCTTCCTCTGCGGTTCGAATGTTCTCCATTTCAGGATCCAGTCGAAGTTCTTGTCCCGTCCGCAGGAACACGTTGTGCAACACGCAGGCGGTCAAAACCACAGTTCTGGCCCGGTCATAGTTTCCAATGTCCAGATAGCTGAGCCGTTTAAATCTGGCCTTCAGGCCGTCGACGGCCCGGTCCAGGATCCGACAATGTTCCGCCAAGATTCGGTTGAAGACTTCCTGCTTCGGTCCGCAGCTTCCAGTGTAAGGGGTGAGGATCCGTTCCGATAGAGGGTATCCAGTTCTGGCGACAAGGCAAGAACCGGGTGGCATCAGCTGAGGGTTCTGTTTGAGTCGGTCTGTCAGTGTCTGGCCGCGGTCCGAATCAGAGCCGTTGCTGACCCTGCAGTGCAGGAACTGGCCTCGTCGGCTGCAGACCAGCTCCAGGTGTAACCAGCGGTCCGGATGGGCCGCCATCTTGAGCCTCTCCTCCGCGGGCCCCAGCCTGTCCAGGTCATGGTTACCTGCAGGCAGGCGGATGGGAATCTGTGTGTGACCCAAAACTCCCAGGACCTGAGGAAGAACCCGGCCTTCATCCAGCTGATTCTCCACCAGCAGATCCGAAAATGGGAAAAGTGCCTCTGCAGCCTCTTCTCCTGGAAAACACACAGTTATTAAAACATTGATGCTCCAACATCATCCAAAAAATTACAGTTAAATGTAGTTTTATTACATGTATATAAGTTATACCAAAATAGAAGTTGTGTCATATATTTTTATCCAGTTGATGATTAATCAATTACTAAATTCGCTGATTTCAATAATTCATCACATTTAATTGTTTCAATATTGTGTATATGTATGTACACACATATATCTGTGTATATATAAAATTTGGCACATTCTTTTGCAGATTTTTCATTTAAATGCAACATTAGAAATAATTAATAAATAGACGTAAGTACTTCTATTTTTTTTCAATAAAGAAAATAAACATTTTATTGCCTAAGATGCAATAATGAATTATTCCTTTTTATAGGAAGGGATGCATCTGAAGCTGAAACAGAAAAGGTGCATAAAAGGACATTTTATTGGACAGAATTTGAATCGGGTGAAGCTAAAACTGAACATATTAAAAATGAAGCCAGTTTTATCTCCTTTGCAAAATACATGACTTGTGTTCAGTTTTGGTTTAGTTTCTAATGAAAGCCTGGCAAATGGCCTTTTTGTTGAGTCTACATACTCCAGTTAACTATTAATCGATTAACTGACTACTCTTTCAATATTCGATTGATTGTGTCAGCCCCAGGAACGAACCAAGCGGCCATCTGATTTGCTCGTCCGTTAGCGTGCTGATCCGCTCGCAGAAAGAGAAGAAGATCCTGTGGATGTTTCCTTTCTCCAGCTGGAAGCGGCGGGACACGGAGCGGTAGCTGACCCGTTCAGACAGCAGGGACAGAGACAGGAGGACGGTGCGGGACAGAGACAAGCGAGCGCGTCCAGCCAGTCGAGCCCCAGATGTGGAGCTTTGAAGCAGTTCTGAAATGTACTGGAAACAAAATAAATGGAACTGTGTTAGATATTCAGCAACAGATTAAATGGATCCACTATTTTGTAGATAAAATGTGTATTTCTTCCAATTTGCTGCAAATCTGAGGTAAATTCAAGGTTAAAAATTTTATATATAGGTTTAAATTTAAAGACATTAGTTTTGTCTTATTTCAAGTGCACTAAGATATTTGCACTAGAAAGTCGACTAAAATTACTTGGCAGTGTATTTATGTAAAATCAGAGGACAGTACAGTGGCCAGATATTGTACTAAAGTAAGAATAGCACTTCAACATATTTTGTCTCAAAGTAAAAGTAAAAAATAGCCATCCAAGAAATTACTCAAGAAAGAGTAAAACATTATTTCAGATTAACAATAATTTAGTACTTAAAAATTACATATTCAGACTAAAATCTAAAGTTAAGTTGTAATTTTGGTATTTTAAAATGAGAATAATTCATGCAAGTAAACTGAATCTGACAAAGGGAAATTTTTCCAAATCAGTTCTGTCAATAAAAACTTAAGAAACTAACAAAACTTGCAGGTTTTTTTGTCTGTCAGGTGAATTTTGGGCTCAAATGTTTGTTCGTCATTCAGTGAAATTATGAAATCTTATTTTACTCAAATAAGAGCAGCAATGCTTCATCATAAAATTACTCAAAATACTCCTAAAAGTACATTAAAATAAATAAGTTAAACTATAACTAGGGACTACCTAACTCCGTGTAAATATTAGAACTGAATATTAGCCCCTAACCCTAACCGTGACTGCTTCACTGTCCGCCGTTTCCTGCTGGTTCTCGGACGCTGTCGCTCCAGTCAACCCGGCCACTGTGGGTGAACCCCGGGGTCCAGGGCTCGGGTTGCCCCGCAGTAACCGAGGGTAAACGGCGGGAGAAGGCGGCTGCGCCTCGAGTCTCCGCAGCAGCTCGGCCTCCAGGATCTCTTCCACCGCCTGGTCCAGCCGGAGCTCCAGCTCCCCGGCTGACAGGGGCTGCCATTCCCGCTCCATCACGTCCAGAACCACTCGGCCCGCGGATGCAGCATGCTGCCTGAAGTCCATCTGAGCTCATGGAGAAACAGAACCCGGTTCGGTTATCCGAACAACGCAGAAACAACAAAGAGATCCATTTTGTCGAGCGGAAGTATGCTAACCACTAAGCTAATGTTTGATGCCTTCACGGAGTGTCGGAAATTTCTAAAGAAGCGCTGAAAAACAGAAATCGGAAAAATATTAGGAAAGTTTATTCAGCTATTAGTTTACTGCTAGGTATTTCACACATGAACACAAAAATAAAAACCCAAAAATAAAGCTAAGCTAAATATTTAGTGTAGGACATAAATATGTAGTTTGAAAAATCAACATTTAGCTTTGACTTAAACATTTATTTGGGAACTAAATATTTAGCTTCTTAAATAAACATTTAACTTGCGATCTAAATTAAGCTTGTGAATTAAATATTTAATCTTCCACAACAATTTTTTCAGATGTTACTCCTGGCGGAAACAACAAACAACCCTAACAGGAAGTAGTAGGATGACGTTTTTGGTTTTTTTTCCCCCGACATCTTATTCAGCTTACTCTTCATATGGAGTAAGATTGCTGCAAAACATCCGTGGCTTGCCATGATTTTTAGCGACTTATTACATGAACAAGCTTTTTCACGTGTGATTTGAATTTTCTTATTAAACGGTAGCACTGCAATTGCGAAATTGTGCATTTTCTACATTAGCGCAATATATGCAAATATTTGCACATATTTGTCATGGAAACGCAGTTGTTGCCTTACAGGCAGAAGGTTGCTGGTTCAAATCCCAGTTTGGTGTCTTTCTGCATAAAGCTTGCATGCTTTATTACCCAGATTATTTTTTTAGCTCACAATTGACCCATTACTAATTGTACATCAAAATACCACACTGCACAGAGATGAAAAACAATTGTTTTAATGTTAAATCAGTTACAAGTGCAATTCTGTTTTAACAGCCTGACTTTTCAAACATGCTAATAAAATGTGCTGAAACGGTTTCATTCCACTCCTCCAGGGTCAGATTTCCCTTCTTTGGGATAAAAAAGGACCATCGATTTAATTTGAGGTTTGGATCTGCATTAGCTAAATTTAGGGGAAACTGCAGCGATCAGTAAACTATAGCAGAGTGATACGATGGCCATTCAAGATGTTTTATGTCTCTAAAATATTTAAAATTTCCAAATGTTGGACAGTTAAACAACAGTTCATCAATAAATGAGTTCATTTTCAATATCTTTTGATGAAAACATTAACTACTGATTGGTAAAGAGTAATAAAAACCAGTGAATCTTTTTATTTTAGAGTGTTGTTCAGAAGTTTTGAAATACAAACGGTAACTTAGAAATTCATACACTCTTTTTTTATGGTTGCAAAACATCCAGGCAAAAGACAACAAGACAAAACAAAAACCTACTTTCAGTTTAATAAAGAAACACGCAAACACAAAACACTAAAAAAAAAAGCCACACTTAATCAATTAAAACTCTTTAGCCAGCAAAACAAAGACCGTGAGCAAGGCAGCTTTCACCTTCCTCTAAATAGTCTAGAATTCATTAAATAAGAGGTACGATTCTTGGCTTCAGCCGTCACTAATCCCAAGATGGCAGACAGTGTCGTGACAGGTCCGTCAGGTTTCTCTGCAGGATATCTTGTGAAATTTTTTTCTAACATGCCCTCGTTAATTTCAACACAAATAAACCACTTTAAGCTCCCCTTAGATTTAAGGGAAATCTCTAATTATTTATGCCTCGTTTGAGAATTGTTGTCAGGAAAATGTCATTCGGTGAGGCATCGCTTCCCAGAATTGGACCCCACCTGATGCCCTCCCTCCGCCCCGATCTGTGGACCGGTTGTTGTTTTATGGCTCCGTCCTTCACTGCACCGCCTGCTCGTTGGCTGTGCTTCCAGAGTCCTGAGGCTTCATGACGTCAGGAAGCTCCGGCGGAGTGGAGAACGACTCGATGCTCAGCGGCTCAAACGAATCATCTGGGAGAAGAAAGGGAGATGGAAAATGAGAAAACAAAAGAAATGTAAAAAAAATAAATCACCTGCAGACAAACCTGAAAGGCTTAAATATAAAATCTGATCTCTTTCATAACAGATCAGATTCTAATCTATTTTCTCACTTTCTTTTCTAAACAAATAAATGACAGAAAATGTCAGTGACAAAATCTTATGAGGTATTTTTCTAGTTTCTAATATCGTAGTGCAGTTGAAAGAAGACAAA